AAAAAAAAAAAAAAAAAAAAAAAAAAAAAGAATACAAAACGAGAGGACTCAAATGGAATAAAAAAACAGAGGAGGTTTTCAGTAACGATAACATGCCACACATTTCCAATAGTGTGCTTTCATTTCAAAGCTTCCCATAGCCAATACAGTAAAGTATATCACTGATACTCCAGTCACACATATTTTGCCACTCCAACACTTTCATAGAGTGCCATAAAAGATGCTGAATAAATGTTTGTATAATATAATGAAAATAGCTGCCATTTATCAAGCTCTTGTTATATGCTAGACAGCTGACATAGTAAACCCTCACAAAAACCCTTGTAAGACAAGTATTATTCCATTGTACAGATGAGGAAACCAAAGATCAGGAAAGGAGAGCTTGATTTGTTGAAACAGCAACTTGTCCAAGGTACAAGAAAAAAAGGGCTAATTGATGGCAGAATTAGGACTACAAGTTAATCCTGTCTGACTCTAAGCAAACATGTTTTCTTTTTACTACAACAAACTCTCTCTATCCAGAGATACCTAGCAAAATGTTTAGGGTAGAGAAAAGGCCCAAACACATTACGTATATATACACAGATTACACACATTATTTAATTTAAATAAACTTCCAACATCCTCATAGCTCAAGTTAGGTTTCTTTTTTGGAATCTTTGTAGTTATCCAAATCACAGAATCACTCAGATCTGAGAATAGAGTTTAAGGATTATACTTGTACTCAGCAACTAATACCAAATTAGTGCCAAAGCTCATCTGCAAATCAATTTTCATTTATTCACTAAAAACAGATTCCCTCTGCAAGGTTTAACATGTATTTGCCTCAAAGGGTAAAAACCATGAAGGCATAACGTACTGTACCCTGATTAGATTCTGCTAGTAACTTGAGATCCAGAACTTAAAAAAAGGACCAATTTTCACATTCAATAAATCAAAGAATCATAGACTGTGGAAACTGGAAGACCAATTAGTTCAAACTTCCACCCCTGATTTCAGAAGTGAAGAAACTAAAGCCCAAAGAAGAAAAGTAATGATCTTCCCAAGGTTTCCTAATCATCTAATGATCGAATTAATACTTACAAGAATATGGAAAACAACATAAAGAAAAACTTCTGAGAATTTAATTTCAAAATATTAAACGTTTATTACAAGTATTTTTTAAAACTTGATATTGAACGTGTATATCCAGAAAAAGACTTTTAAAGGACCCTTTGAGGGTCCAGTTTCCAAACTTATCTTTATAACGTCCATGGAAGATACTTTGGGGTAAAGAGAGTGATGCCAGTGTTCATAACAAGTATTAGAACTGCCCTACTTTCACACTCAATTACCCTGAAGCTAAACAACCAACCACAGTGCTGAAAAATAGTCTTTACTCAAAAGAAAATGCCACTCTAGGAAATACATCCATCTTTAAATAAAGTCTACACCTGCTCATCTAAATAAGGCTCCTCTTAGGTCTAATGGTCCAAGAGGACATTGATCTAATTTGAAAATAACGGCTAAACATAAAAGTTCCATATTTATCAACCTGAGAGCATTAAAATACAGCTCTGACCACAAGCAGTAATTGATTCTTAACGCTGCTAATTTTAAACTTAGGGACCTGGTTGAAAATCCATGTTGACTATTGTGGAACAACTATTATCCATCACTCTTTAACTGAATAATGTAAAGATTTCTTCATATAAGCTATAATCACAGTGCAGACTATTATCTTTTTCTTTTTTCTTTTTTTAAAGCTAACAGTGGTCTATCTTTAAACTTCTGAAACACTATCTCATTGTTAAAATATGTCTGAAGAACTTACCCTGATACCGTGGGTATTTACCAATTTTAACAAACACTTATTGACCTACGTATTAAGCTAACAACAATACAAACTAAGCCTCTTTCCTCTTGAGACTTCAGCCTGGAGCTCAAGAGAAACCCAGAGGGATCACAATGGAGATGCTTAAGAGAGGCCTTTCAGGGGTAGAAAACCCCTAAGAAATGTTTGTTTTAATTTCACATTTAGCTACTTGTAATGACCAATATTCTAATTTAGGGTTGTTCACAGAGAACAGGAAATGATTCACAGGGGATTCTAACATTAACAGCAAATACCCAATTAGACTGATTATATTTGTATGTTCTATAGCCAAAGAAAATAACATTAATCAAGGAAACTGATAGTGTTTATTAATTTTGTCATACCCACTGTATAATCAAAAACGAAAATCAGGGCCACCATGCTGAGAAACACTATAAGACAAAAAGAATAATAGCTTTTGGCATTTTTCAAAAGCAAAAAGTTATTAAAAGAGGTAGGAGGGAAATGTCCTAGGCTCTCTTCCTATTGCCATAGGAACCACAAATCAAAAGGGAAAAGTGGCTGCAGGCACCTTGCCTCTGATTGGCTAGCTTTAAGAATAACTCACAAAAGCTAACTTTGGTCTGTGTCTAGATGGAATTGTTTTGAATATCTTGCCCTGATTCCTTCTCAAAGAGGCAATTCTTTTAAAAGCTACTCAAAGAGGTATTTTATGTTAATCGTCTCTCTAATGTCACTCTGATTTAGAAATAATGCCCTATAAATCCTAATTTGTTTCTTTCCACAGAACCATTACCAGCTTCTTCTATCATCACGATTGAGGTAACCAAGTTGAGGGGCTTAAATACTATTCCATTCAACAAAAAACTTACCTGACCTTATATCTGCAGACAGAAACGCAATGAAGACATTCTCTCTTTCCTCCAGCAGCTTACAGGAGGGAATTTTGAGAATGTGCCATGTAAATACACACACACACACACACACACACACACACACACACACACACACACACAGAGTCTCTTAACACACCCAAAGGAGGAAAATGCCTAAACTAAGCCATAAAGGATGAGTAGGAGGCAGCCAAGGGAAAAAGAGAGAGAGACACATTTCCGGCAGAATAAACAGCATTAAGCAAAGCCAAATAGCTAAGAAATGGCAGTCCTATTCAAGTATCTGCAATTAATTTAGCATGACTAAAGTATCTAAGTGTGAGATGAGGAAAGCCTGATAGAGAGGGGCCAAATCACAGAGGACTCCCTTATACCATTCTATCGAACTTGAGACTTCATCCTGTAGGAAAACAGCTCTTCGGCTGCGTGCTATAGCTCACCAGTTAACAGCCAATCCTTCCCAGGTGTGTGGTCCAATATTTTATCAACGTGTATGAGATTTTGTTTTTCCCTGCAACTCAGTATACCTACTGCTTCAACAATATGTGTCAGAGGAACAGAAGCAGGTCATGCAACACACTGGCAAGGGTGGGGGCGAGGTTCTTAGACTAAGAGAAGTAGGAGAT